TTAATTTTCATTTCTAATAAAATCAGCCATATGTTTTGTTTAAAAGAAAATTATTCAGCAGCCATTTCTAAGATCAACTATATTTAAATACAATGATAGGATTTCCTCCCCCCCAACCAATAACATAAGTCATATTTAAGGATATAGAGAAAGAATCAAACCATTTTCAGGTAGACTACTAATGGAAACCACATTTGTTCCGTTTAGAGGAGTCTAAACAAGTCTGCATGTAGGAAGTAGGACCGGGAGGGATGAAGTCGGAGGGGTGAGAGAAACCACAAACGCTGAGTGGTTTGGAGACTCATGGGCTCAGCGAGGTGAAATTTCTGGGACAACGTCACACAGGAAGTGGTGGCCCTAGGATTCAAATGTTCTCCTCATTGGTGAAAAGGGGAGAGCGACATTTAATTCAAAAGTCGTGAGATTTAAAAGGACAGAACGACATTTCAGTTCAATGTTTTGCATGAAGTCTTGGTAAGCACTCAGGGAACGGTACTTTATAAAAGTGGATCTTCTCATCTGGGGTGCCCGACATCAAATGAGCCATGGTCATGACTCCAAAGGAAAGGGACAAGCTCCTCGAGAACATCAAATAGAGTCAGGAAAGCTGGGGTAGGCACACAGCCTCTTTAATCTGAATGAGTGATGGAGATCCTCTATTTGCATATATCTATTTGGAAAATTAAAAGCAGCTTTTATTCTCCCACACTCAAGATGCAGCAGGGCAGGGCCTTGTAAACAGATCAGCTTAGAGGAGTGATGATCTTCCTGAGTGGTGTGGCGCATTTCGTTAATAGCAGACGGCCCTTCAGCTAGGGGCGTACACGTGGAAGCTGGTTCATTGTGTTGTTAGCTTTGGGCTTTACACAGTACTCACACGGGGTCCCTGGAGTGCTTCTGTTGGCGACTACAAGGAAGGGCATTTGCTAGTTGAATAACGTCGTAAAGAGGTGGGAGCGCCGCGGTGGTTTTTTTCTACCCAAACTCAATGTAGACTCACCTGGAATTTCCACTCTAATTAAAAATTGTGAACTTGGTCCAGTGGGAAAATGAAAGACAGAGTGCTTTTGCCTTAAATAAGGAGACTGGCTGCTTGGGGGTATTTTATATAAATAGTTACAGATTGTGACAACGTGAAGTTGAAATATGTGAAAGGAATGCCTGGGTGGCTCAGTCGGTTAAGCGTCTGCCTTCGGCTCAGGTCATGATCCCAGGGTCCTGGGATCAAGCCCCGTGTTGCGGGTGGGGGGCTGGGGGGCGGTGGTCCCTGCTCAGCAGGGAGCCTGTTTCTCCCTCTCCCTCTGCCCCTCCACCCCACCCCCCTGCTCGTGCTCTCTCTCATGTAAATAAAGTCTTTAAAAAATATGTTAAAAAAACTAAATGGCAACATCCAATATGGATGAGGTTGTAAAAAAACAGAAACGTGTGTGTTCTGCTGGTTGTAACCCTTGCAGACAGCGTAAGGCAATATACAGTAAGAGCCAAATAAGAGCTCTGGGACCCAATAGTTCCATATCTGCAAATGTATGCTGAGGAGGTAAATTATAGGAGGAAAAAGCTGTATGCATAAAGATGCTAATTGAGCCATTAGTTCTAACAGCAAAAACTAGAAATAACCTAAGTGCTCCGTCATGTGAATTTCCAAACGATGACCCACCAGCAAGCCAATATATTTGGTATCGCGTTAAAATTACTGAAAACTGAGGAATAAGATAATTTGCGGGAGGAAAAAGGGAAAAGAGGGGCAGGAAACCAAATAGTAGGACGATTTAAAAGGTAATGAACAAAGATGAAACTCTCTCTGTTGGAATGGTGGGTGGTCTTGGAGCCTGCCTTTGTCTTTTTAAGAATTACTTTTAGTGTTAGTACCTTAATTTATCACAAGGCATAATTCAGAGTAGCGTTTTAAGTGATCATGTGGAAAATATTTTGTGATGTTCCTTAGTTTTCTAAAATGAACTCAACCAAACTAGCTTGGATGCATTGAAAGGCACAATGAGTTAACACGTCGGGGAAGTATCACTATTTTAGAAGCCTTTTCAATGTAAACTTCTAAAAATGGTACCTGCTGGTGACCAGAATGGGCAGCCAGTGTGCAAGGCAGGCTCTCTGGCCTAGTGCTGACCTTAATGAAAGTAATCAGGCCTCCTTCACTGAAGTTCAAAACAAAACCACCCATAACCCCATTTTAAACAGCAAAACCACAAGCCACAGCTTCAGTCTTCGCTGAGGATGCTCCCGTTTCTTGTTTCCTGTTGATAGAAGGGTCTCCCTCAATCAGCCATGGAAGTGAAAATTGGCTGCCTTTGGGAGGGAGAGCCACTCAAAAGAAAATGACTAGAGAGCAACCGGCTCTCTCTTCCTGTTCTGGGTGGATCTTAAGGCGCTGCGCCATGGTGGAGAACTCTGGACACTGAGTCCATTAGAAGTTAAACCTAGGTAACCAAGGCCAGATGCAGACCTATTCATAACCAGGACGAAAGGAAAGGTCTGTGGGGCTGGTGCTGGATAAATGGCATGTACAGAAATAATTTGCAAAGTTTATACTCGGTGCTGGAGGACAGCCAGGTCCCATGCTTGGGTACAAAACCAAACAATCTTCTTTGTGAATAATTCACTCGTTGTATAAATTCAATGTGCATATACTGCTGGTCTATGGGTCGGTTACCCGTTAAACAGTGCGATGTAGCAGAAGGCGCACGGATTTGAAGGTGATGGACCTGGATTCAGATACTGACTCTGCTACTCACCAGCTATGGGCTGTCAATAGGTTACTTTGTTTCTGTAAACCTTCAGTTTCATCATGTGAGCATAAAATAAGAAAACGGGTATGATGTGCCTGGACCAGCAACGGGCATGTAGTAGATGCTCAATAAATAGTGTCTGCAATTAGTAGCAGTGATAGTGGTAGAATAGGATCATTATGATATAATTAAAATATCGATTACCTGTGCATATATATTACATAGATACTATATTGCACACACCCCCCTGACTTACAGTGAGCAATAGCAGCCCTGGATGTAGAATAAGCTAAAAAAGGAGCGAGGCTCATGGCATCCACTTGCTCACCTTATGCAATGTGAAGATGCCTACAGACCTGAGATACAGCAGGAGAAGTGGGTAGTTACCCTAAACTTTGGATTTCCACAGTGTAGCACCGAGTATATGCTTGCTGAGTGAATGTTTATATGAAGACTGTGTCTATTGGACTTAAGAGAGCTTCTGGATTTGGGGGAATACTCACCTCTCCTGGTCAGGTTCCCCCAAGCTTTTTCTTACCCTCCTGATGCAGGATCCATATGGGAATCAGCACAGTGACCTTGACAGTGCAGGGAGGTGGGCAGCCAGCAGATTCTCTCTTGGTTCTCTTTGATGTTTTGGATATCAAAATCCTTGGCTGATGATACTCCAATGTCTTCTTTGTACTGGTTAACTTCTACCTTCACCAAATGCCTACAGCTTAGCTAGAGTTAGTCACCTCTCTGCTCAGCCTGAAGAACTTAAGATGATGCATCCCACTGGAAAGGATGTGTTTAACCTATCAAAGAAGTGGTGGCTTTGGTGCGGGGAATCTGCACGATTTTGACATCACCCCTGGTATTTCCCGGCATTTCAGCAAAAGCATTCTATCAGGCCAAAGTGGACCTCCTTACATCCCTGCTGGAATGGGAAAAGGGTTTAGTTGGAAAGAGACCCCGATTGCCCCCATTCTGATGCATAGAGAGATTCTCTAGTCACCAAGAACTTGATAATTACAGGGGGGAGCAAACCATTGAGGACCGAAAGAACCCACTGGAAGTAATAACAAAACCTCTCAAGGTGAAATTAAACAATAGTCATTTTTCTTTTTCTCTCTTTCTCCAACAGAAAATATGATGCTGGCATGCTAATCGCGGGAGACAACTTGGCCCACAGACAGCCACAAAGCACAAAAACAAAACAAACTCTGAGAAGAAACAAGAGCAGTGTTTTCCTGGCATCTACAAGAAGCGCTTTATTTTTCCTCTAGATTTCTTTTCTAAAAAAACAAAACAAAACAAAAAAACTGAAACAAACATTTAAAGAGACAGTGCAAACTTCAGGTGATAATATTCAAGCATGTTCTTTTATTAAGCATAGGATGGGAGGAGAGGAAGGTGAAACAGAAACGCTCAAGCAGGGTAACAGGGAGGCTGTGAACCTCCACCATCAGGTTGCTTCTGGAAACTGTAAATGAGGAATGAAGGGCACAACTTTTTTATCCTCTGCCCCCAAAGTATCCTGCATATTCTCATGGACGTAATGCTTCCTTTCTTGCCTGCCAAGGTGTCTGGAGAATGATTTGCAAAATTTGTTTGTAATAATCTCTCAAGAATTTTTTGGGCAGCTTTAGCAAGGGGGTCGGTGGGCCAGCCCTTTTGCGACCCATCAGCTCTGTCTACCCCACCCACTTCTAAGTAAGTGTCACCCCCCCCCCTTGGCTGGCTAGACCAGGGGACCCAGAGCTCTCTCCCCCAGTTACTGCTGCGCCCACTCAGGCTTGGTGAGGACGAACGAAAGGACACACACTCGCCTCTTCTTCCCTAAACAGAAGAAGGCCAGCTCCTGGCTACCGTGTGGCTGCGGTGGTGGCGGGGGGCGCGGGGGGCGCCTGGCTATCCTAAACAGTGCGTGAGAATGGCTTGGGCTCCCACAGCGAGGCAAGGAGCCTGCCTACCAGCTAAGCGCTCACCTTCCAGCGGGCCACCGCCAGGAAAGCAGAGAGACGCCAGCCTCGCCCAGCCCCAGAAAAGAGATCGTCCCCTTGGCCCTGCAAGTCCCTGCTTCCCATCGGTACTTGACCTTTTCTTCACTCTGGTGTGGCTACTCTTACCCTCTTTACTCGGGCGGATCTGTGCCGGGGGCGCACGGAAAGCCGCCGGACGACAAGTTGGCGGGGGTCGAGCGGCGGCAGCCCCGCAGGTGCGCACACGCGGGCTGGGTGCGCGTCGCGCGCCGATGCTCCCCCGAGCTCGCGCTTAGCCGGACGGGCTGCCCGGTCCTTCCTGGACTAAGCGCTCGCTGAGTGCCCACAGGGCGCGGGCCGTCTCTTCGCTCTGAGCTTCCGGGGACGGCAAGCATCGGCAGCAATTGTTGAAGTACATCCCTCCCAGGCCCTCGAGCTCTGGAGCAGCAGCACAGTAGACGGTGGTGGCAGCTCCTTGTTGCTGGAAATCAAAGAAAAAAAGACCAAAAAAAAAAAAAAAAAAAAATTTTTTTTTTTTTTTTTTTTTTTTTTTTAAGAAAAGAGGTGATGAGCTGACTTCGTTCTGTCTGGGAATTAGCAAGCCTCGCCCCGCCAGGTTCGGATGCCGGGGGTACTGAACTCAGCACGTGACTGTACAAGGTATGATGTGACCTCCTAGGAAAGCAGATTCACCAACTCTGCTGGCGTCACTTTTTACACCTCATAGAGGAAAAGGCTCCGACAATAAATATGCATATCGATCCATCACATCAAAGGTCTCTTCTGAGCAAAGGGAAAAAGATGGCAGGCATCCTTTTGAACACCCAAGAACAAATTCATCCAACCCACTGACTTCTCAGTGCATGAGGCAATCTGACACCAAGATGTTTCTAGAACCATCTGTCTGAAGTAAACCAACCACTCTAATAATGGCCCATCGGATAGAAAATCCAGAGAGGGACTGGTGCCTGATCGTTCCTTTATTTTTGACGACGGTGCTGCTAGGGGAAGAGTTTTCAGTGCTGTGTGAAAATGCTTGAAACACACATATACACGGACTCCCTGCCATACATACTTACATGCCTCATGCAGACACGCGACACATGTATTAATTCATCCAGATCCTGTGGAAACCTTTTTGTAAATGTCATATTCACCCCATATTTGCAATGGGACAGTGACTAAGGGGGTACGTTTCCTCCCAGCCCACCTCAAATTGTAAGTTGCAATGAGTATGATTGATTACTTTCGATTCACCTTTTGAGTAAGAGTTGGTGCTGTGGCTAGGGATGTGTATGCCGGTGGGGTACCATATCATCCCGGCTGACACAGTGCTGTCAGGGAGGCTGTAAAGAGGGCAGGAAATCACTTTGCTTTGCAAGCCATAATTAAAAATAATAGGCTGGTGTTCATAGGGAGACACGGTAGGCACGGCTCTAATTTAAAACCAATACAGTTTATCTGGCATCTTATGATTATTTATGTGCATCACAGCCCTTGCTGCACCAACTAATTATCAGCTGATAGGGAGGGGGGTGGCGGAAGAGGGTGGAAGAGGTAATGGGCATAAGGTCACCATTAGGGAAGACACTGAGGGCATGTGCCAGAGAGGGAAATGCATTTTTGTCCCCACCCAAAGCTTACCATCTTTCCTGCCCCTACAAGGTTGACGTTGTGCCCAAGGGGAGTGCTTCATGGAGAAACATCCCCCCCCCACCCCGAGATGGTTTGATTTGTGCTTACTGTGATTGTGCTCTAGAACCATTGGGTGCCAAGGTCATTTTGAGAATTAGGATCTCCGGGTGTTACAATTTTAGGAAAGTGCTATAAAGCAGGCTTGAGTTTTTTGCTTGTTTGGTAGGGGAAGACTTCAGTGTCAGTGTCTATGGTCATATTTGAATTAATCTGCAAAGTAAATGGTCAACCACAGTGAAGCGACAGGATTCTGGGGAGCGGTGTAGCATGGAGTGGGGGTAGGATATCATCAGACTTGAGTTCTGATGATTACTGGATCCTTGACTGGGTTGGACAAGTCCCATTAGTTCAGAATTTGAACACCTGACATGACTTCGATTTAATTAAGTAGTAGTGGGTGTTTAACTTCCCCAAGCCCCTCACCATGCCCGCTCCCCAAATAGCCAGTTACTCTCTTGGATTCAGCTATTTCTTTTCGAACTGATTTGTGTGGCTCAAGTGTAATGGAAATAGGTTCATGTCATCCAAATTCCCTCTCACTGAATTATCATTCCCAATAACCCTTAGCTTAGCACCTGGCACATTCATCGAAAGAATTTCGAGTGGTTTATCTGACTCCTCTGCATCCCATGTGGGGGGAAAAAGGGAAGCAAAGTGCCTCTAAAGACAAATTGAAGAATTGAGATGCTCATCCCGGTAACTCAAGCCAAATATCGTCTTGGCCTCAATTCTTAGCAGAGTTCAGGTGGAGATGGTGTTTTGCATAATTTTCTGGATATCTTAGATTTCCATTTTACTTTGCAGCTGCCAAAACCACCAAAGAGTGGTCAGGTGATTTGCCATCAGCTCCCAAGTGGTGAGAGAATCCAGTCAGCTCATCCCCAAAACTGAGGCTCCCCACCCCCGCTCGAGAGTGCTTATAACATCAGCGTTTGCACATCACGACAGTGATCAGGACCTCTCCAATGCTGAGAGAAGATCAAAGTAGGCCACTGGGGAAAGCAGTAAGAGGAATTCTTCTAAACCCAAAGTAGTATCTTGCCACCGTGACCTAAAATGATACCATGTTGCACTCTTGCACTGTTGGAATGGTCTTTTTGCAAAGAAATTCTGCCTTTGTGTTGATGAGAATCAGGTTGACGGGGGAGCTGGGGGACACGCCTTTTCCTTCCATGGAATCTGAATGCAATTGCTGTTGACCTCATTTCACACCAACTGACGTGTGGCTACCATGCTGGAAAGCACAAATTTTAGAAAAGCCCCATCTTTTACCAAGGGCTGGCTTTGTAGAAGAAAGTGGTGCAGTAGGGGCCCCTGAAAGCAAAGACCACCTTCCCTGCGAAGATGAACTGCAGACGTTTGGCAAAGCCAGCCTCTGGGTTCTTGCTCCATTCAGCTGGTGCCGGCACCTTTCAGTCCCAAGCCCGCTCCCCTCCTGGCTTCTCGGGGAATTCTCTTTACAGCTGTACCCATGGCAGCCTCTGAGTGACATCTTTATAGGATCAGATGTGATGACAGTTTAATAACAAGTTCTAATTTCTGGCTCATCAGCTTTTTGGTCTGCCTATCATGAGAATGAGACGGAGCCCCATTAGGGAAATCTCATTAGTAAATAAGCCGGCACTGCTGATACAAGATAAAACAAACATTTTTAAACTGGTACAAAAAATTTAAAAGAGCCCTTTAGTCACCATCAAATGACTTTCATGCCACTTTTTGGGGCATCAGTACATAATTCAGAAAAGATGAAAGAGCCGTGTAAAGGAAATAATGTTAACAACTCTGCTATAAAATATCTGAAGCAACGTCTTGTTGGTTGTCACCACCGCTGTACTGATCCATCGTGATAAAAAAATAGCAACAACACCTCAACACACAAACAAACACTGGCTGCAGCTGCGGGTTCCCATAAATGAAATTTTAAGAACACTTTGTCAGAAGCTTGTAGGTTGCGCGCAGTTGCAAACCCCGGGAACTGGGGTGTCGCGGCTCCATCCTGGGGACACGGCGTGAGTTAGGGTGTGGATGACACGGGGACTGAGAATTTCTGGGAAGCCCAGCAGAATCTTTAATCCTGCCCGAATGCCATTTCTGATCTAGTCAAACATTTGCGAGCTGCCAGAGGAGAAGTGTGCCATCAATCTTTATAGTGTATGTAAAATTCCCTGTGATTCTTTTTTGGGATTAAGTTAAGAGTATCTTGGTAATTAATAAGGGTTCATCGTTCTCTTTCAGAAATCATTTGTCAGATTTGCAGTACAATCTGCAACTACGGAAAGGTGGGATTTCAAAAGCAGTTGTTTGTTTATGGTTGAGGCCCTGAGATCTAAATTATCCATCCTTCCAAAACCCTTTGTTGGGATGAAAATGTTAAGTAGCTGCTTTTCATTAACATTTGATAACCGCTGGCCATCAATTTGGAGCTGTCAGCATGGAATACAAATGGATATTGACTCTTTTAAAAGAAAAGATACAGAGGTTCCTGATAAACAATATATGGTAGAGAAAAAAAATCACCCACATATTGATATTTTGTGATGCATTGCTTCGTACTCTAATATAACTTACATTTTAATAAGGACACATATTACACAATGTTCAGTTTTCAAGTTCCTCTATTTTAAAATGCATGCTTACTTAAAGGGAAGACTATATTCCTGTCTTAAAGTAGATTTCACTATGAGACATATAAAAAAATACAGACACTGTCGTCACGGAATATATATTCAATGATCTTGAGAGTAGTAGATGTTCTAAGATTGCTTTACTACAGACATACTGATACCAGGACATCGTACGGCAAATGTTGAATGAGTCAGTTCAACAAAAAGTAGCTGTGTCAAGAAACACGGCACAGAAGTTAGTTAGCCTGAGCTTGGAACCCCCAAGGGCAGGGAACAAGAGCCCTTTTGGAAGTGGGTGGCGATTATCGTGCTGAACTCCCAGGACAGTGATGGAAGGAGGGCAACACAGGTGCCTCTCCAAACCCTCCAAGCTTTCCCTGTTACCCCTCTGGGGTCTGTAAGGTGAACAAACACTTGCCCAGTGCAGAACCAACCACCTGTCTGGTGGCCCCAGAACACGGCAGTGACTTAGCCTTGGTGGAGACGAGGGAATGAGCGCACGTCTCAGGTGGCGTCAGCAGCGGCCTCCACATCCTCTGTCTTTCCCTGTCTCTCAGTAACACTCCCGACAGAAGAGTCTGGAACCACTCTACCGGAAAAGCGCAACGCCGTGATTCAGAGCTCATCTCCGGATACCTTGGTACACATCTGTTCGTAAAAACAATTACGGGTTTAAATCTCCGATGTGAGAGGCAGACAAAAGCAAACTGCCCCCCAGATGTTATCAGTTCCCTACCTACCAGCAGAGAACAATCGTCTAAGCCCCCACATTTGTCATGTGTCTCATTAGTTCATGGAGTCAGGCAGCGTGCAGGGGAGTAAGGCTCAGGGGCCTTCCCCAGGAGTGCGACCACAGCCCCGAGTCACCCCCTTCCTTCACTGTTGATGCTCGTGAAATCCAGTTGACAGTCGTGAAGTGAGTGCTGATCAATCAACGAACACACCCACTTCCACCAAAATTATGGGAGGCACTAGAAGAGAGCACCCGAAAGGACACTGTCCTCCAAACTGTCATGCTCTTCTAGTGAGCAGCTGCCAACAGGGACTATTCGAGGGGTGACAATGGCTAGCACGGATTGAGAGCTTACAACCCATCAAGCCCCGTGCAGAGAGCTTTAGAAGGATGATGTTCTCACCCCCACCCAGCTCTCCGAGCCAGGGA